AGACGGCTCCCGACGGCGTCAGACGGGCCAGGAGCCCACCAAGACAGCAGAAAATGGCCCTCAGATGGCCCAAGACGGCCCAAGAGGCCTCCAAGAGGGCCTCCAGGAAGGCCCGAAAAGGCCAAAATCATTAATTTCCCGTGAGTTGTTGAAGGATTGTGGCATTTGTTTTTATTCGGCGTTCCGACGGCCCGAGACGGCCCAAGTGCCCCCAGAGATCGCCCAACAGGCCCAAGACGGTCCAAAAGAGCCCTCCAAGACGTCCTCCAAGAAGGCCCTAAAGGGTCTGGCCTCCAGACGGCGAAGATGACCTTCAAGATGCCCACGTGTTCCCCGAAGAAATTCCAAACCGATTCGGGGAACACATGGTCCGATAGCTTGGCAGGTCTGGCCTCAACGTTCGGCCACATACAATCGGGGCGCTGACCTAAGGAACCCTAAATAAGGAACGAGGCCCCTTTTCCGCAAAAGTTGAACTTCGATTCCCCATGGAATACCTCAGGTCAACCCAAGGCAAGCTGCACAACAATCCAGGAACACCGAGCCCCACCCCAACGAAAAGGGTTCCTTCTTCAGCGCCCCGACTGTAGGCGCTTCCAAAAAGGCAGGGGGCGACGGTGATTCGCAGTAGGCGTCTTCGATCGGCTCCCTCTTTTTCTCCATTGACTTCCTCCTCCTCCTCCTCCTCCTCCTCCTCTTTTTCCTCCTCCTCCTCCTCCTACTACTCGTTGCCCGCCATCTCCTCCTCCACATCCATCTCATCCTCACCATTCCTCTTCCTCCTCTTCGTCCTCCTCCTCCTCCTCCTTTGCCTTCTCCTCCTCCTCGTCCTTCTTCCCCTCCCCTTCCTCCTCCTCCTCCCCCCCATCCCCCTCTCCCCGTTTTCCTCCTCCTGTTCCTCTTCCTCCTCCTCATCCTCCTCGTCCTCCTCATGATCAGCATCATCATCATAATCATCAACATCATCGTCATCATCGTCATCACCATCACCATCACCATCACCATCCTCACCATCACCATCATCAGCATCCGCATCAAGGCAGCCAACAAGGTCGCCCCAAAAGGCCCCCCGAAAAGAACATGAATGCCCAAGAGGGCCCCATGACGGCCCCAGCGGTCCAAAGGTCCCCAAGACGGCTGCAAAAGAGGGCCCCGGCGGGGGACCTGAACGGAAATTCCGGGCCCTCGGAGCCAAGACGCATCCAGGACGCCCCAAGAGGTCCCCAAGGGGTCCCCAAGAGGCTACAAGCGACATCATCATCATCATCATCATCATCATCATCATCATCATCATCATCATCATCATCATCATCATCATCATCCTCATCATCATCATCATCACCACCACCACCATCATCATCATCATCATCATCATCAGCATCATCATCATCATCATAATCATCGTCAGCAGCATCATCATCATCATCAGCAGCAGCATCATCAGCATCATCCTCATCAGCATCATCATCATCACCATCACCATCATCCTCATCAGCATCATCATCATCACCATCATCGCCATCATCAGCATCATCAGCATCAGCATCATCACCACTGTCATCATCAGCATCACCATCTCCGTCAGCATCAGCATCAGCATCAGCATCAGCATCCGCATCATGATCATCAGCATCATCACCATCATCATCATCAGCATCATCATCATGTTGCTTCTCCCCCCAGCCTCCCCAACCCTCCCTCCTTTCCCTATCACCTTCCTGAGCCCCCCCTTCGGCATCCTCCGCACAATCCCTCTCCCTCTCCCCCTCTTATCCCCCTCCCCCCTCTCCTGGTCATCCCTCGTCTCCCCCGCATTTTCCGGGCCTTTCTCGGATGTCATCCAATCGGTCTCGAACCGCGCGTGGCCGCGGTCGCGAGGATGCCTCGCGAGTCCCCCGAGAAACGTCGCCGCCGCGCCGAGGCGGCACGGACCTCCCACGCGCCCTGGGGCGGCTGGCCCGTCACCCATGGGAGGACGACGACGACAAGAAGCCCGCCGCAGGCGCCAATTTCGAACACCAAACATCTAAGCGCAACTGAGCGTAACTGAATGGAACTGGGCGTAACTGAAACTGAATGCAACGGAATGTAGCCTAGAGAAAGTCAGTGTAAGTGCTGGGTTATTACAGGGATCTGGGCGGAAGGCTCCCATACACCAAATCACACGGAGCACCCATCGCAGCCGATGAGACTACGCGCTACCACGCGCAAATAGGTGTAACTGAGTGAAGGCGAACTTAACTGAAAGCAGCCGAGCGTAGCCGACTGTAGCCCGAGCGTAGATGAGTGCAACTGAGTGTAACTGAATGTAGCGTAGTGGGACCCAGCGCAACCCAGCGCCAATGGGAGCAACCTAGTGTAACTGAGCGTAACTGAGTGTAACTGAATGTAACTGAGTGTAACTGAATGCAACTGAGTGCAACTGGGTGTACAGGAATCCCCTCGCGCCGACGCTGGCTGCGGCCACAATGACAAAACCATTGAGACAAGCGATGGGCCCACACTGCGCACAACAAGCTTACGCTGGACCCTGCTCCTGATCCTCAAACCCGCTGCTCCTGCTTATCCAGCTCCAGTACCTGCAGCTCCTCCTCGCTCCTCGCTCCTCGTTCCTCCTCCTCCTCCTCCTCGTCCTCCGCCTCCTCCTGCTTCCCTCCCTCCCTCCCACTCCCTGCTCCCTCCCTCCTCCCTCCTCCTCCTGCTTCCCCACCTCCTCCCTCCTCCCTCCCCCCTCCTCCCTCCTCCCTCCCTCCTCCCTCCTCCCCCCCCCCTTCTCCCTCCTCCCTCCCCACCCCCCTCTCCCTCCTCCCTCCTCCCTCCTCCCTCCTCGCCCTCCTCGCTCCTCCTCCCCCCCTTCTCCCTCCTCCCTCCTCCCTCCTCCCTCCTCGCTCCTCCTTCCCCCTCTCCTCCCTCCGCCTCCTCCTCCATTCCTTCTCCTTATAAATACCTTCTCCCTGTCGCACCCCGAGGCCAGTTTTTAGGATGGGCCGGGCGTTTCGCTTGAGACTTCCTCACCATAAATGACTCTGAAGCTTAAAAATGACAACATCACAAATGGAGGGCGGCTCGTTTTCAAAATGTGGCTCTCGCATCAGCGCCGCGCACATTCGTTTTGAATGTTTGCAAGAGTTTCGCGGATTGAGGGCGGATAGCTTTCGAAATGTGGCTTTCGCCTTAGCGCCGCGCACATTCGTTTCAAACAGTTGCACTGGGTTCACTGGTTGAGGGCGGGTGGTTTTCAGAATGTCGCTCTCGCCTTAGCGTCGCGCACATTCGTTTTAAAAGTTGCAAGAGTTTCACTGGTTGAGGGCGGGGGGTTTTCAAAATGTAGCTCTCGCCCTAGCGCCGCGCACATTCACTTAAACAATTTGAAAGAGTTTCACGGATTGAGGGCGGTTCCGTTTCAAAATGTAGCTCTCGCCCTAACGCCGCGAACATTCGTTTTAAACATGTGCAAGAGTTTCACGGATTGAGCGCGGGTCGTTTTCGGAATGTGGCTTTCGCCTAGGCGCCGCGCACAGTCGTTTCAAAAAATAAGAGTTCCACTGGTTGAGGGCGGGTGGTTTTCAAAATGTGGCTCTCGCCTTAGCGCCGAGCAAATTCCTTTTCAACATTTGCAAGAGTTTCACGGATTCCCATGATCAACGTACCAGGAATAGCGTTTTGAAAGGATTCAGGATTATGTGGGCGCAACAACTATGTTGATTCGCGGTGTTGATGTCCCCTCAAACGGCCTTCTGGCACGATTCCAGATCGTCAAGACGCAGCAGTCAGGTTGATACGTGGCGTTAAAATCCCGAGAGCAATGTTTTGGCACGCTTCAAAATCTTCAAACGGTTCTCTTCCAACGAGGCAGTTCCCTCAATGGAAATGAACCGTTATGGGGGCCTACAAAGAGGGAGCTTGAAGAGGGTTCATCCCAACATCGTTGATGATTCTGGGGTTTACACTGGTCCTCCTCCTCCTCCTCCTCCTAGCTCCTCTCTCCTGTCTCCTCGCTCCTCGGTAATGCTCCTCGCTCCTCCTCCTCCTCCTCCTCCTCCTCCTCCTCCTCCTCGTCCTCGTCCTCCTCCTCCTCGTCCTCGTCCTCGAGGGGCCTCCAAGACGGCCGAGCCCCCAAGACTGCTCCAAGACAAGAGCGTGCCCAGACGGGGGATCCGAACGGACATTTCGAGCCCCTGGTCCCCAAGAAGCTTCCAGGAGGCACCAAGATGCCCCCAAGAGGCCCCAAGAGGCCCAAAGAGGCCCCAAAACGGCCCTCCGGAGGCCGCAAAACTACCTTCGGAGGCTCCCGAGATGCCTCGCAAAAGATCCCAACCAACGTCCACGAATCCTCAGACCCACAACCCAGACGCGGTGGCGAAATGTGCCAGACTCCATTCGATACCGTTTTTTTGAGACTTCCCTAATCTGGATGATCAGATATCTAAGTATGTGCCACAGCTACGCGGATGGAGGACGATTCTTTTTCAAATCGGAGCACTCCCTGGAAAGTTCTCTTAAGTTATATGTTTTACGACCAGACGCTTTGGGACAAACAGTGTACAGCTTGAGGGCGGCTCTTTCTCAAAGCTGACCTCTCGCTAGACACTAGACACTTCCTTGGATTTTCTGATCTACCTACACTCCGTTTATTCGGCTAGAAGCATGAACAGCAGCTCGATTTCAAAAAGGGGCTCTCGCATGAATCGCAGGACCAGGGGGCGCTCTTCTTTCAAGGGGCGCGCACATCACACAGGGAAAAGGAACTCCTGTAGGGCACTCTGAAGGGACTTGGGACGAGTGGGCGTAGCAGCATCGTTGATATGGATTGGCTTTACTCTGGTACTGATCCTCTTCCTCCGTACCCTCCTCTGGGGGCACCGATCATCCACGGCCGATCCTAGCCAGGCCAATTTTGGGCCTGCGGAGGGGCGGCCTGGACAGGATCGGCACAAATGGGTGGCTGGCATCCCCCGCCGCAGCAGCCTGCCCTGGTCCTTTCCCGGTTGCCCGAGGACCCTCCTCGGTGAGCATCGGCTGCCCGCGCAGCAGCGAAGGCCCCCAGGTCGCCTCCACTTGGCCAGTAAAGGAAATGGGGGAGTCCGGGGAGTCCTTGATAAAGGGGAGGGGTGGGAGGGAGGACGTAGGAGGGCAAGCGAGCGAGCGATGACGGCCGAGGCCAGAAGCTGAATCTGCACGGCCACGGCCGGCATCAAAAAGTCAAAGGCTGAAGAAAGAGTCATAGCGAACGAACGACCACCAATGCGGACAGCAGTCCGGGCCTCCTGGAGACCAGATGAATGAGGCCGTGGCCTCTGAAATCCGCCGACCCCTTGGGGTTCATCGGCGTGTGAAATGTTCCCCCTCCCCAAACCCCTCCCCCGGGGGCCCGGTCCGGTCGATTTGGAGGTGGGGGGGGGTCTCCCCGGGAAGTGCTGGGGGGGGCCGGACGGGATCTGAGGGGCCATCCGCTCCCGAAAATCGTTCAAAATTTCGTGGAAATCGTGCAGGGACTCCTGTGGTGGTCTCGACATGGTTCTGGATCCCCAACGAGCGGTCCACGACGCTCACGGTGGCCCGCCACGAGGCGTTCTGGACAGCAGAAAGGGTCTATACGAGCCCCCCCGAGGGCCTCCGAAATGCGTTCCAAGAGGGTTCCGAGACGGAAAAATTGGCCCATTCCCTTCGTAAAATGCACATGTTTCACACATTCGGCTTTGGGCCTTGCCGATGCATCCGACGGCCCAAGAAACCCCAAACCCAGTCCCAGACGGTCCCAAAAGCTTCCCAGAGGGTCTCCCACATACCCCTGGAGGGCCCCAAGACGGGCTCAGAGGCGTCCACGACGGCCTCAGAGGGCTCCGAAAACGGCCCCAAGAGCGCTCCAGGAGCGGTCCGAGAGGCCCACCAGCTTCACATGGTCTCAGGGTGGCCCCAAGACGGGCCACGAGGCGGTCTCGACGGCAGAAGAGGTCCCAACGAGCCTCCCCCGAGCGCCTCGGAGATGCGTTCCAAGAGGGTTCCGAGACGCGAAAATTGGCCCATTCCCTCCGTGAAACGCACATGTTTCACACATTCGGCTTTAGGCTTTTCCGATGCATCCGACGGCCCACGAGGCCCCCAAACCCACTCCCAGACGGTCCCAGAAGCCTCCCAGAGGGTCCCCCACATACCCCTGGAGGGCCCCCAAACGGCCTAGCAGGCGTCCAAGACGGCCCAAGAAGGCTCCGAAAACAGCTCCAAGAGCGCTCCAGGAGCGGTCCGAGAGGCCCCCAAGCTCCACATGGGCTCCAGGTGGCCCAAAGACGGGCCACGAGGCGTCCTCGAAAGCAGAAGAGGTCCCCACGAGCCCCCTCCAGGGCCTCCGACATGCGTTCCAATAAGATTCCGAGCCGCGAAAATTGGCCCATTCCCTTCGTGAGACGGAAATTTCCCACAACTTCGGCCTTGGGCCTTTCCGATGCATCCGACGGCCCAAAAGACCCCCAAACCCACTCCCAGACGGTCCCAGAAGCTTCCAAGAGGGTCTCCCACATACCCCTGGAGGGCACCAAGACGGGCTGACAGGCGTCCAAGACAGCCCCAGAGGGCTCCGAAAACGGCCCCAAGAGCGCTCCAGGAGCGGCCCGAAAGGCCCACAAGCTTCACATGGTCTCAGGGTGGCCCGAAGACTGGCCACGAGGCGTCCTGGGCGGCAGAAGAGGTCCGAGACGGAAAAATTAGCCCATTCCCTTCGTGAAACGCACATGTTTCACAAATTCGGCGTTGGGCCTTTCCGATGCATCCGACGGCCCACGAGGCCCCCAAACCCACTCCCAGACGGTCCCAGAAGCGTCCAACAGGCGTCCACGATGGCCTCAGAAGGCTCCGAAAACGGAGCGCTCCAGGAGCGGCCCGAGAGGCCCACAAGCTCAACGTGGTCTCCAGGTGCCCCAAAGACGGGCCACGAGGTGGTCTCGACGGCAGAAGGCCCCCACGAGCCCCCCCCCGAGCGCCTCCGAGATGCGTTCCAAGAAGGTTCCGAGACGGAAAAATTGGCCCATTCCCTTCGTGAAACGCTTTTTTTTCCATCGGCGTTGGGCCTTTTCCGATGCATCCGACGGCCCACGAGGCCCCAAAACCCACTCCCAGACGGTCCCAGAAGCCTCCAAGAGTGTCTCCCATATACCCCTGGGGGGCCCCAAGACGGGCTAACAGGCGTCCAAGACGGCCCAAGAGGGCTCCGAAAAACGGCCCCAAGAGCGCTCCAGGAGCGGTCCGAGAGGTCCACAAGCTCCACATGGGCTCCAGGTGGCCCAAAGACGGGCCACGAGGCGTCCTCGACGGCAGAGGAGGTCCCCACGAGGCTCCCCCAGGGCCTCCGAGATGCGTTCCAAGAGGGTTCCGAGCCCTTACAGAACGCACCTAGACGTCCAAGACTCCTCCACGAGGGCCCTCTCAACAGTCCAAGAGGGCGTTAAGACTGGACAAGAGGGGCTGACGACGGCACCAGAAATCCCCGAAGACGGCGCGCGCGCGACTCGCGGTCAGATTTCCTGCAACTTGCGTCGTTTCCCGCCGTGCTCGTCGATCGCCTCCGCTGGGCGTTTCGGCGGCTCTCTCCGAGGGGCCCGTTCCGCCTTCTAGCACGTGGCGCACGCCACAAGAGTGCCTCGGAAGAAATAATGCTTCTTCAGGTATTTCGACGGATGGCCGGCGTCCGTGAACGTAGGTTTGGATCCGCCCTTCTTGCGGGGGCATGCGGAGCATTTCAACTTCTTTGCCACCTGCCTATGCTCGTGGCACGCTCGGCACACCACCGAGCGATGGGCCGAACCCTTCTTGAAGAAGTTCTTCACTTGCGTATATGTCAGATGCGTCCTGTCCGCGAATTCTCGCTCTTTCCCATCTGCTTCCTTCGGGCGCGCGGAGCACGTGAGCACTCGCGGCTGATTGCGTTCTTCCTGGCACGCGCGGCACATGACTGGGCGGCGGCCCGCGCCCTTCGCGAAGAAGTGCTTCACCTGCTCATCTGTCAGATGCGCCCTGTCCTTGAATCCTCGCCCTGTCCCATCTGCTTCTTTCGGGCACGCGGGGCACGCGAGCACTCGCGGCTGATTGCGTTCTTCCTGGCACGCGCGGCGCATGACTGGGCGATGGCCCGCGCGCCTCACTTGCGCATCAATCAGATGCGTCCTGTCCGTGAACTCTCGGCCTCTCCAATCTGCTTCTGTCGGGCACGCGGAAAACCTGAACACCCGGGATCGCTTGTGATTCGTCTCGCAGTCGCGGCATTTTACTGGCCTATGGCTCGCGCCCGTCCAATAATAGCACCTAATTTGCGATGTTGTCAGATGCCCCGCGTCCGTGAATTCCCGCCCTCTTCCGTCTGCCTCCTTTGGGCACGCCGAACACCTCAGCGGCTGTTGCAGGCGTGCGCTTCGTCGAGCATTGTTCGTTTCATTCATGCACTTCGCTCCCTTCTGCGCCTGGCTCCACTTGTTCCATCCGCCTTTCCTCTTCCCCGCGCACATCTTGCAGAGCTTCTCCCCTGCGCCCTTCGTCGCGTACTGGTTCGCCGTCATTTCTGCCTCTGTCTTAAGGAATTCACAGCAGTCGACGCAACGGATCTTGAATTTGTCTCGCGCATTCTCCTGCCACTTCTGAGACTCGTTCCGCGACTTCCTCCGGGATGCTGGGCCTGCGCGCCCGTCGCATTTGCTTGTCCGCACGAACACTCTGATCCTTGCGGGTTCGGCCTCCGCTACTCTGGAGACCAGCTCGGCCAATTGGTCACAAGTCGTGCACCACTTTCCCCCTGCCCCCTTCAACATCTCCGTGCACGCGCAGCAAACGCTCGGCCCCGACTTCGCGCCGAACTCAGCCGCGCTGAATTCAGCCTTCTCCTTCACCTCGCGACACTTCCCACATGTTTTCCGCGGCATCAACCTCTCCTCGACGTCGGGCCACGGCAACGCTTCTCCCCGCAGCTTCTGTAACAACAACCTCGTGCCTTCGAATTCTCCTTGCGTGTACGGCTGTCTCGAAAATGGCCGATATATGAGCAGACCCTGTCGAGTCTTCACGCGCGTTATGGCCACGTAGCTCGAAATCCAGCTCACGTTTCTGCCTTCCCCCAAGTCCGCCATTACCGCGTCGAGCGTTCGCCCTTGCGCTACGCGCGCCGTGCACGCCAGCCCAGGCGAAATTATAAATTGTCTTCGTCGCACTCCCAGCACGGGCTCCTTCCGATGCGAGTCCAGATGCCACGTCCGAGCACGAGGGGCTATGGGATACAGCCCTGGCCCCGGCATCCCTTCCAGCGTCCACTTCTCGGTGTGAAAGTCCAACACGATTTGCCTCGGCATCTTACGCAGGACTCTCGACGACACGTCCTGCGCGTCTTCTTCTTCTTCTTCTTCTTCTTCATCTACCACCCATGAATGCATCGTCGCGCGACACCCTCGTAGCAATTGCTTCTCTGATCTGTCCAAATGGTCCGTCAGTACAACTGGCATGCCCACGGCAAGCGGTAACCATCCTGGCATGTCTGCACAGGCCTTGTCGTGGTATCCGAGCCACCGCACTTTGTCTGCGGAGGTGCACGGCAATTCCTGGTACGTAGCGTGCGTGGCCTTATCCCGCTCATAAGCCCACGAAATCTGTTTCTTCTGGCACGCAGCCCAGTCGACGGGCCGCTGCCGCGCTACCTTGCACTTCACATCCTGATTCGGATATATGGCAGTGGCTTCGACGAACTGTGGAAATGCGAACCGCTCGTCTGCGGCGCTGGCGGCTACGAGACATCGACGCTTGCTTTCCTCTGCACACCGTCCACACTCCAGCCCGTTGTCCTTTGCGATAGACGCCACGTTCTGCATGCAGGATAGCGAACCACACATTGGCTGGTCATGCAACCAAGACCCTGGAACATCTGTAGGTTTCCCATGCAAAAACTGGTGCGTCCTTTCGGTCAGGGCTCCCCGTCGGAACTCATCCTGTACTGCCAGGAACCACTCGTCCTTCTCTTCCAAACGCTTGCACTCTACCAATTCCGCCATCCCCGCCACGGACCCCGGCCCCTCGCCCCA